TCACGAACTGGCTGAATAACTACATAATCATTGGACATCAGGAAAAAGTCTGGACGACTGTCCAATCCTAGTTGGGTAAGTATTGGCGATGTGAAGTCAGGAGCACAGAAGAGATCAAGTCCATCAACTCCACGCCTCAAATAGATCATAAAAAATTCACACCACAAAGTCGGAATCCAAGGGTTAGTATTCTTTAATTCAGTCAGTTTATCGATCAATCACTCAGTCATAATTAGCATGGAGCCTGGCAAAAATGCGCGTTGACCCAAGTTACCATATCACATCAGTATGAAAAAATCAAATTAACAAAATGATTAGCAAATGAGTCAAAATAATTTTAGTAGCGAGGAAGACTTAACATTTAGAATACAGTCGTTCGTTTGATTATTACGCGACATGTGACCAATACTGCGTAGGCACTTATGGTCAAAATACTGCAGTCCGAGTTTGTATTCTACTTTCATAAACCGTATTTCACAGCTACAGAATGATATAGAGTGGACTATAGTTCAACACGCTTGTCCTTTGGTTGATAAAAGGACATCTCGCCTACTTCCAAAGTGAAAGGATTCGGTGAACGCCAAACAAGCTTTCTGAATTCATGGAGAGATTTTGTTATCAGACTCCAACCTACCATGGCTGAGACTGAGGTAAGAGACTAAATAGTGAACTCACTCGACTAATTTGTTGTCTATCATCAATATAGCCGATAATTTGGACTGGTTCTGAAGCAACGTTTGGCACTTAGAAACAGAGAATCATATCATGAACATGCCTTCTCAATCGTCTTGTGGTGTTGTGTGACTATTGTTTCACGTAACTAGTGGTTAATTGCCTCACTTCAAGCACAGTTTAGCATCATCTGTCAAGTTTAGTCATTACAACTTTAAAAATTCTTGTTAAGTAAAACTACCAGTAAACAAATGGTTAGTTGTAGGTCAGGCCATCATGTTACTACCTGTTGTCGATGTGACCCATAAGCCAAAAATGTTTTCAGTCTACATGTGGCAAGTTTTACATATCTTAGTATTATTACTTGAACACTTCGAATAATTTGGTATGAAAACGTTTACAGTAGCACAAACACATTCTTCTAGTTTTTTTTATGAGCCTTCAACATTTCCTCCTACACTAATATCTTTTTTCATTTATTTCAATAAATTTTCTTTTCACCAATTTCTTTTCGTATATTATCTATAGCATAATATACAAAATTGCACCAACATACGTGTACTCAAAGTTATATGTTCAAGTATATTTTTTGTTATACTGTACTATTGTACCATTGTTTCTTAAGATTAACAGATAGAAGCTTAAGAAATTATTACACTGCCGAATGAAAAATGGGTTGAAATCAAATTAGAAACTAATTCCTAAAGATGGAAACTATACTATTTCTGTCTTTTGTGTTCTTGATGTCTTATGTGTTTGTTGTGAACGAAATATGGATAGTCGTTGTTACTGACCAGTAACTTATGAAATACATGTTTCTGAAAATCACTAAACAATCTCTAGTTTCTCTCTTTATTTTATTTTAAGAAGTAATTCAATGATCAAATCGGAATAGACATAGTTTGCGCTTCTGTTGGAGTGAGTTATTAGCGACCATATGGATCAGTATCGAAAATAAAGTTTTTCCTTTAATATGTTAGTCATTTACTCAAATGAAAGATACCCCTGCACTAGTTTAAGTCAGTTAATACGTTTGGCGTAATCATATTAAATAAATACAGGACAGAATAGTCGTTTCCACAAGCACTTCAATAAAAGTACAAACCCTAATATATATATATATATATATATATATATATATATATATATATATATGTATAATTTGTAAAATGGTTGCATTTAGTAAATTTTTTATGAAATATGCAACTCATGATTTGATGGTATTATAGGAGTAAATTAAGTGAAACTTAGAAATTCGAGCGATTTCTCTTACTTTATGTGCTGTAAACAGTGAAAATGTTTTAAGCGATACTGTGACGATAAGTAATATTTACAATTTACAAAACACTAAGAGTAAAAGCCCAGTAATGTAATATAAAATCATTTAAATCTGAAACTGAAAGTGGGGCTCAACATTGTAAAACGAGTCCAATGTAATTTGACACAAAATTTTCATAAACTATTATACTAGTTGTTAAGTTGTATTTGATTGGATAAGATAACTTGCTATGACTAAGTTCAACTCAAGATTCATTCTGAATAATAAACGAGAGATTGTGAATATCGTTCGCACAAACGAAACAGGTCATTTATCTTTACCTGACTAAATCATGTGATACACGTTTTTAAGTAGTTTGGTTTTGACATTTAAAGTACAAATCGAATACATTTCTGCACATAAAAGATTGATGATGAAAAACTATACTTTAAATACTTTTGGATTGTTGTACTTAACAGTGGAATTCAGGATCAGCATTCCTTTTCAATTTCGGGTCAGTCTTCTGCATTTATTTATTTGCATGCTATTGTTGATGTTCTTTCTGAACATGTTGTCTGTCGCTTTAAACCCTGATGCGTTTGTTGTACACTAAGGTTCCAAGTTCATATTAGTTAACGACTTGTTCAACGAGTATGTTAATTATTATCCAGGGATGAATTTTCATCACTCACTGTTGGGGGCATATATACTCTTAAGCTCATGCTTTGACTCGATACTATTCACATCTCACAGTTAGTTGAACGAGGAAGGATTACCATAGAAACTGCAATTTCACTTATGCTGAGAGTTAGATAATACCGTTTTGTTCTTTGATGACTAAATTTTTTAACTTCAGTCTCTTAATTTGCTAAAATACTTTGTCAAATAACGAAATAAATAAATAGTTTAAAATAGTTACATAACAAGCTAAATCTATAGTTACTGTTGTAACTATTAACTATTCATCAAAATGAATATAAATAGATATTTTACTGAATTCTTAAAGAGGTTACTTTTACTTTAAAAAAATATATGGGGATAATGTAGGAAATATCACATTTGAATTAGATAATACTAAGCGTTGTCTTTCATATCTAATTGCAACTCACATATACATAGTAGAGTCTATTAGAGAAAAGTGTTCCGTCTGATTTAGGTTACCACTATTTCTTGTGAGAAGTAGGTTTATAGTCGTCTAACTGCATAATGGTTTTTAGTTAATTTTTCTATTGAATAAATAAATAAAAAAATATTAACTGAATTTAAAACTAATACGACTGACAGAAAATTAGTGAATTTCGTGTTGTATTTTTTTTTAAAAAAAATTAATTTAATTACGTGTTAGTTATAAAATTACTGGGTCAGTCACATTGGCGAAATATATTGTTTTGTATGTTTGTGGATTCAAGTGTAAGAATGTATGTGATCATTGATAATCAGGAGAATAAGGATTATGTGGATAATAATAGATTTTTTCATCAAGCAATAGTAACAATCAATGTAATACATAATATTTATTGTTTCAAAACGTAGGGTAAGAGAAAATAGATAGTACAAAAAAGGAACTAATAGCATAAGACTTAAGTGAAGTAATTTACCTGTGAGTTGGTTGGGTCTGCAATTGTTTAGGTTGAAATAGAGGGGATAAATGAACTTTATTACAGTTCTTTCATAAGAGAGACGTAGCCGCATGATGTTTGATAGATGATTACTGTGATACTTGGTTTTTTATAATGGCGTGTTGAATATTAATCAGATGACATGAAATGCTGCTATTTGCGGGGTTAATTACATACAGTTTTGCATAACTATGGATTCACAACAAAATTTATCTTCGGTTTGAAAGAATCAACATTATACTCTTGTTTCCCATTAGAACACTTTTAAGACAGTGTGATGTAATCAGTAGTAGATCACTGAAAAAGAAAAGACGACTGATGGATTAGTTAACTACGTGGGTTCTATATGTAAATACACACCAGTTTGTATGAAGAATGAATGGATAAACTTGATCAAATTCCCTGGTAATACTCCAAACTAATAGTCTAGTGAGACTGAAATATTCTATAATTTCTATTCAATAATCTTATGTATAAGTCTTGTCATGAATTTTGTTTTGATCTATATTACAGCAATGAAGTTCTTCCATTTAGGCTGATGGTGATAATATAAGGTTTTAGAAATTTAGATCAGATGTATGGTTTGTGAAATAACTTTTTTTTCAGCTAATGAATTGATGAACATTTTTCTGAGTTGAATGTGACTCATTTTTGGATATCGTTTACCTAGTTGTTCAATTTCCTTTAAAGGAAGGACATGCCAAAGCAAGTTTTATGACTGTCAGATCAATACATGTTGTGTTGATCTGAGTCACAATTAGCTATGGAACCTTCATGGTTAGTGTTGTTCATATAATATATTCAGATATAAAGTAACTAACCGGTACATTAGGTTGAATATTTTTTTTGCTATTGTGTTTGTTTGTTTGTTTGTTCCGAAAATTGTACGATTTTGGAGAGTATTTTTATCAAATAGACTTGTTTTTAAGTTGAATCATTATCTAATAAATCGTATTTCCCAACTTATGTCATTTGGGATATCGTCTAGACATTCACAACATGTAACTGATTAAAATATAACTGTCTAGGTTAATAAAAATCACGAAAATTTACATTGAACTAGAAAATGTAATCTTTAAAGGTAAAAGTACTTTTTGTCGTTAATAATTGAAGTTTAAAGTCAAACTCAAATTCACTTTACACTGAGATAAGAGCATGACAAAAATTTACATTATTTTCAGTACGTTTTACTATTTTTTTTTTAACTTTTAATAATAGAACAATTAAATGATTCTTTATGGATTGATTCTCTATGCTTACAGTGATTTCAGCTTTAAATTTAATAATAATTCTCCTCACTATTAATATTATATTATAGAAATATTAGATTTTTCAACAAAATTGATTTATCACTAGTGTTATGTTATGAAACATTGAATATTAATTCTATGTAATGATATAAATACAACAATATGTTGATGCATTTTTTTAATATTCTTCCATTTCATTGTTCAAGGTATGCAACATGCACAAGGACATCCATGTCATTCAACACTCATGAATGGTTCACATATAAGTAATGAAGCATTAAATTTACAAAAAGCTTTATCTAATATTCATACAAGACATGATATAGTTTCACATTCTGTTCAAGAAATGGAAGAGATTAATACAAAATTATTAGCTCATCGTATAAGTTCCGAATTAAAACGTTATAGTATACCACAAGCGGTTTTTGCTCAACGTATTTTATGCCGAAGTCAAGGTACATTATCTGATCTGTTAAGAAATCCTAAACCATGGAGTAAATTAAAATCTGGTCGTGAAACATTTCGCAGAATGTTGAAATGGTTACAGGAACCAGAATTTCAACGAATGTCTGCCTTACGTTTATCTGGTGAGTATTAAATTATTATTTTTATGTTAATAAATTTGTAAAATGTTGTGTCACTTCTTATTTATTTCTTCTTAATGAACTATTTCAGGCTTTTAACTGAAGTTGTTAAGCAAGCCTTTTTATATGATATACTTATACTGAGGAATCAGTTCTTTTTTTGAAAAGAGCGAATTTATATTATACTGAATTATTCTCAGAGTACGTTACTTATTTAAATCAAAGGCTTATTGTATACCTAAACTGTGATAACTAATTATAAATTAACGACTCTGTATTTTGTTTTATAAATTACTATTCGACTATCAGAGTAGGCAGTTGTAACTATGGTCTAGAGATCTGTCAAAGTTCTCTTCGGAAATATCCGCACTTTTAATGAGAAACTGACATAGATCAACTCTCTTTGTACGTAAATCGTCACTATATTCAGGTTGATTGTTTTGAATGCATCATTCTTATTTGAATTAAGCACTGATAATTACAAGAATGGAAAAATTCTTTGAATACCATTAGTCAAAAGAGAAATGACTCAAACAATATAGATCTTCACATTTGAGTATTACCGTCTATTAAATTTACACTTGAAACATGGGAATGACGAAGCTTAGAGTATCATGCAAGTTTCAGGGTTATTTCCAGTTATATTCATTAAGTCTTTATTTTCTGCCATTTTGAGAAACAGATAGATAATTATTTGTTCTGAACGTTGAACAGATTTCTTAACCTGAAGATATTTTGTGGTTGATTAATCACTTTCGAATAATGATAACTGTAAACTTTAATCCCATTGACTAGACAGTAACTGTCAGGAGACCATTATTGAAAATGATCATGTTCAGTGAAGTTAGTCAATAATATTAATTATCTTAACTTTCATTAACTTTTGTAATATAACTACCCTCTGGTGTGACTCCATTTTAATTATAGTTCATAGTTAATGATATCCTACACAGAGATCCACCAAAAAATTACAGTTCAGAGATAATATTTTCCAAATTAATTGATGATACTGATGGAAAGTAGTATCCCCAAATATCCTAATATGGCTAAAGGTGGGGAAATTCCGTTCTTCTCAAAATGCTCTCATATGGACACGCGTTTGTAGCCGTTGTCAGGGAAGCCCTACCTACTCACTGCTTTTTGACGGAGAGGATGGTGTTTATCAAACTGTGGGGATGAAAAACGGAAGTCATGAGCTTTAACCCAGTTGCTAGAAATGAAGGACTTATCTAGGGAAGTTGGAAAACCCCTACTCTAAATCTCCTTTGAATATGGATTCCAGGATTCTGAGGGATTAAGTGGTTTATGAACGTAATGTCGGATCACCGGCTACCATAGGATCCCTCCTCCTGATGCTGCTCAATCCTAATGTGAATTATACCTCCCGGACAAAAGTTCAGGGATTGACCCTCTAAGTAAACCACATGCTTCCCTTTTGGGTGCTCGGATAGTATTTCAGCTCCCATACAAATTTTATAATACTACGACTGGAGGAAATTCCTTCTGCTTCTATTTCTCGCAAACTATGTCCAAAGTACTTTACAGACCCTATTTTATTTCACGGCTGGTTTGAGGCGATTTTAGGAAGTGAAGTAGATCAGCAGTTTTCCCATCCAACACATTTTACGTGGTTTCGAAAAGTTCATGGATGAAAAACTACTGAAAGAGTACTAACAACTAACTTGATTTTTTCGGCAGTAGACGGGTTTACTATTCAGGAATGAACTACACGATGTATTAAGAGTACATGTTTTTCATTAATAATATCCTTAAATAATCAGAAAGAGAGACGGGAGACTTGGAGCGGTGTCGGGAACACGACTTTCTCCTAGAGAAAGGTGTAGTTGGTCTAGTGCTAATCATTGCTACCGAGGCTCGTAACGTTTCTATCTGGTTTGTAAGTTGCGTTATCTGTTGTTGAAGATAAAGAACGTTACACATATTATTTATGCCGGTGGTTTGTACAGAGTTAACTCCCTGGCTGTCTGGATAAATTTCCGTTATTCTGTCAGCCATATCGGCTAAATCTGTTAGGTTGGCTGAGTTAATGGTTACTGTAAGAATCTGTCTTACGTTATGAGGTAGCCGTTGAAACCAAAGTTGTTTGAGTAAGTTTTCGTCTAATTTATACGGTCCTGACAGTTCTTTTATGTATCTTAATAATTGGGATGGTTTTTTGTCTCCCAATTCACATGACGTTAACAGTTGTTGTAACTTTTTTTCATCGGGTGCTGATGTTCGCTGAATTAAAGCAGCTTTAATTTTGTCATATGGATCATTCTCAGGTACTTGTGCAATCAGGTCTCCCACTTGGGCAACTATGTCTAAGGGTAGTGCACCTTCCCCGCAAACAGTCAAGAGACACAGGGAAACTGGCCTGCCAGACAGTGATGGCGGCGACTGCTTCTGGCCACGCTGTAAGCCGTCTCTTCCACTTCAGGGACAGGATTTCAGGCTCAGACTTCTTAGTCGATACAGGAGCCGAAATAAGCATCATCCCTCTTCAGCTCTCGCGACAGCAACACACCACTAACAGTAAGATAACACTACAGGCAGCAAACGAAACCATCATCAAAACTTATGGAGACTAGTCTCGAATACTTGACCTTGGCCTTAGACGGCGTTTCACGTGGGTCTTCGTAGTAGCTCAAGTCAAACAGCCTATCCTTTGAGCAGATTTCCTTACTGCTTATAATCTGCTAGTAGACGTGCGTGCCAAACGACTAGTCGACAACCAGACACGTCTACACGTGAACGGCATAACTAGCAACATCTACGAAATCCATGGAGTACGTATAATTAAGCCCATTAGTCAACCTTTCGCCGATATCTTAGCTAAATACGATGGCATCACCAAGGTTGACTATCGGAAGCAAGGTACTGTACACCACGTACTGCATCACATTACTACTACGGGTTCACCCTTCTGCGCCAAACCAAGGAGAATACCCCCACACAAACTTCAAACCGCCAAAAAAGAATTCGAACACATGATGCAGCTGGGTATCGTCCGTCAATCAAACAGCCCATGGGCTTCCCCACTACACATGGTTCCAAAGAAGGATCAGGACTGGCGCCCATGTGGCGATTATCGACGTTTGAATAATCAAACGACACCAGACATATACCCGATTCCTCATCTTCACGATTTTTCACTTAACTTACATGGAAAACATTTTTTTCAAAACTTGATCTTGTACGAGCATATTACCAAATCCCGGTTGCACCAGAAGATATCGGAAAAACAGCCATTATCACTCCCTTTGGTTTGTTCGAGTTTTTGAGAATGCCATTCGGGTTAAAAAATGCAGCCCAGACGTTTCAACGCTTTACGGATGAAGTGACCAGAGGTCTCGACTTCGTTTTCGTCTACATCGATTATGTCCTTATAGCTAGCGCATCGATCGACGAACATATCCAGCATCTACAAACTCTTTTCGATCGTTTTCAAAAGTACGGTGTCGTCATTAACCCTTCCAAGTGCATCTTCGGCGCTCCTGCCTTGGAGTTTCTAGGACATTACAATAGACTCACAAGGCATAAGACCACTACAGGAGAAAGTTGACGCGATCATCAGCTATCCTGAACCTACCTCAGAAAGTCTGTAGAACTATCAGATATTGGTTTTTAAGTTAGTCGGTTGCCCGATTTAAGCTTATTTTTTGTTAGTTGAATTAAGTGGGGCCCTGTACATACTGTTCACCACTTGGCTTTCATTGTTGTGGTCCTGATTGCAGCCCTAAGATTATTTGACTGAGAATCAGTTATGACAGTACAAATGTATTTACTGCTTATCTTGCAATAACCATTTTCTGTTACAATCTGTTTCTTTCATTAGTTCCTTCCTGTTTTTTTTCCATAGCTTTTTCTTATTACCACCACGATTACTTACTTACTTACTTACTTACTTGCTTACGCCTGTTATCCCCAATGGAGCATAGGTCACCACAATAATCTCTACAATATCACTTGTTGGTGATTTCTTTTCTCGATATTGTGGAAACAGAAATTTCCTTTGCTAAATTATCTTTCATTTCTCTTCAATAACTTAGCGAGTTTTATTTTTATTTTTCGTTATTTCATCATTGTTTGCAATGAGGCGCTATTATGTCACATTATATTGATCCTGTTTGTATAGATAGATGTGCTTTTAGTCCTACATGAATACTGAAATATTAGGTACTGTTAAATAATACAGCAACATCTCCCAAGGTTATTTCATTTCCATGTTTCTTTTAAAGAAAACATTGAATAATATCTAACTGTTTATGACACTAGAAAATGGTTTCATTTATTTTTAAAAAAAAAAAATCAAATAGATTTTTTAGTTTGACACCTTTGAAATGCTTATGACACTAGATTATGTAATGAATGACATACTGTGTTTACACATTTTGTCAGTAGCCCGTTTTTACGTCTATCTAAGAAAAAAATTTTTTTTATAATCTGACAGTTGCTAAATCTTTTTTTTAAGTTTATTTTGTGTTTTGCTTTTCATTAGGTGATTTATGTTAGCAAACAAATTACTTGGTCTTTTGTTAAAAAAAATGCACACTGTGTATTGTGATCAAGTGCAGCGACAATTAAACGTGTTACGTTTGATAGAGATTAGGTTTTCATATTCATACACAATTAAAATTTATTGAAATCTGAATTGATCCAAATTGTTACATCTTCATAGCTCGATAATAGAATAAAAATACCATAAATTAAAAAAAAGTTGACGAGTGAAATACAAAACAAATAAAAATAAAGTAGTGCGTAATATAACTTGTAAGCTTTTTAGCCATATAAAAATAGCTCTGATGGTTGTTAATAATTAATATTGTCATAAAGATCGCATACCATTGGATTTCTATCCAAAAAAATACAAACTGTTGCAAAGTTTTCATCCGATCATCGTTTAGATTTTCTCTAGTTAGCATTGGGACTTTTTATCAGGTTATAAACTCATTGAATATCACGGATTTCACACACCATAGTTTCTGCATATTTATGATTTT